GAGTCACCTGATCCAAGGAAGAGGGATGCCTCTGTGCCTGGAAAGAGTGTAGAGAGCAGTGAGGATCTTGGGAGGGGGTCTATGAGCACCAGCTAGTCCAGGACTTAGGTAGTACATCTATGAAATGCGTAGAAACCCTGAAAGGGGAGTTTCTGTACACAGTGCATTTCATCTCTGCCCCTAACACGTTCTACCCGTCTCTGATTCCTTTCAAACAGGGTGAGGAAATGCCTACAATTTTGAGAGGATTAAGTCTTGACCTAGCCACAGACTTAGGCAGGATGGAAAATTCCAAACTGGTATACTTAAGGCTTGTTTCTGATGAATCTGTTTAGATGAATTTGGGGGTTTACGGCTCATACTGTGAGACCCAATGCATTACTGAATTCCGTGTGGTTTGGGTGTATCTTAGCAAATCTTTAAAGATAGCATGGGAGCCATCTGCCACACACAGTGACCCAAAATACAATCATGTGGTTAGATGAACATCACTGACAGCCTACCGTGAGCTCTACAGCAGGAGTCTGCTTTCTGCCAGAAAGAATGCACTGTGGGAGCAAAGCCAGAGAAATCCCATCAGAAACCCTCAATGGGACCAACAGCATGCCCACCACAGGCCCTTGTCTGGGAGGAGAGAAGTCATGTTTATGAGGAAGATTCTGCAGGGCCTGGGATCCTGGCTTGGTCCTCAGACTGGCTCCTGAGCCACTGCAGGATTCAGAAAATGGCACTGGTCTCTCTCAGGCTAATGGGTTTGTATAACACTGAAATAATCAGCCCACCTCACAACCTAATTGAGTGGCTGTTGTGGGATATGTGTACACTGTGTGGAAATATATTGTGACTGATATAATAAAAAGCCAATAACTAGGCAGGAGAGGATAGGCAGGATTTCCGGACAGAGAAAGAGAAGTAATCTAGGCAAGAGGATTTCTACACAGACTTGGAGCAAGTTGGACGTGCCATACTGAAGAGAGGTAGCTCAGCCATGTGGCAGAATGCAGATTTAAAAATGAGTTAAGTTATAAGAGCTAGTTGAAAATAAGTCCAAGCAAAAGGTCAAGCTTTCATAATTAATAGTAAATCTCCATGTTGTTATTTGGGGCCTGGTTATCCAAAGATAGTCCAACATGAAAGCTTACTACAGGCAGCAGTAGGTGAATACTGCGGTGAAAAGGGTCACTCCTAAAGAGTGAAGTCAAAGTCTCTCTCTCTGTCTCTCTCTCTCTCTCTCTCTCTCTCTCTCTGTCTCTCTCTGTCTCTCTCTCTCTCTCTCTCTCTCTCTCTCATTTGTTTGTTTTGGGACAGGGTTTCTCTGTGTCTCCCTGGCTGTCCTGGAACTCATTCTGTAGACCAGGCCAGCCTCAACCTCAGAAATCCACCAGACTCTGCCTTCCAAGTTCTAGGATTAAAGGCATATGCCACCACTGCCCAGCTCAAAATCAAAGTCTCTTGAATCAGTTACGCCAAGCAGATTCTGAAAGACTTGCCCAAGCTCTTTTTTCTTCCTCCAGAAAAGTTCAAAACTTGATCAGAGGCCACCACTTACATTGAAATCTGAACAACCCTTGGTGACCATAGTCTTGTATTCCAGAGAAGGGGGAGAACACATTCTCTTAGCAAGGCCTGCAATTGACGACAGGAAGTTAAGGGGCACTAAGAAATGATAGGGGCATGAGGGTGCTGTGGGAGTCGCTCAGTTCCAGAATTGCTTAGAACAAGCTACCTACGATAACATCCCAGAGGGAACTTGTGAAGCTGGTGTCTGGATGCCTTTCACAGGTCCTAGGAAGCATGTGAAAAGGGAAAGACAGAGATGGAGGAAGAGCAGGGCGTGATTACAGACAAGGCATACTCCCTTTCTACTGCTGGGGAAAGAGACAGTAGTATGCCTGTGTTCATGTCAGTACTACTCACAATAGCGGAGATGGCTGTCAACCCTAGGGTCCAACTGACACATAGATAAAGAAACTGGCACATAACATACTTTTGGCACAAAAGTGAAAGAAATAGTATCATTTGGGACAAAATAAATGGATAAGTGGAAAGAGGGGACAGCTATAGAAGACAGCCATGACATGTCCTCTTACTTGGTATGTAAATGCTAAGGAAGTTGAGGGTATGATAGAAGTAGAGTGTAACCATGGTAATTACCAGATGTTAGGGATGGGTAACTAAGTGTGGAGAGATGCTGGGTAAAGAATACAAGATTTCATGGGGCTGGAGAGATGACTCAATGGTTAAGGGCACTGGCAGCTCTTCCAGAGGACCTGGATTCAATTCCCAACACCCACAAGGCAGCTCACAACAGTTTGCCACTCAAATTCTAGAGGATTCAATACATTCACACAGACATACATGCATGTCAAACACCAATGCACATAAAATAAAAGTAAATAAATCATTTTAAAAAAGATTTCAGTTAGGATGGATAGGTTCAAGAATCTATTGTACAACATGGTGATGGCAAGTTTTAGTATATTGAGTAATTAAAAGTTACTGAGAGTAGATTTTCATATTCTAGCCACAAAATAATGGTATATGAGATAATGCAAATGCCAATTTGCCTAATGTAGCCATTCTACACTGTGTGCAGATTTTAAAGTATCAGGTATAGTTAAGTATGTATAATCAATATCTGTTGATTAAAAAATAATAATAAAGGACCCGCCTAGCCCATCTTTGATTCATCAGAAAAAAAGAAAAAAAATGCATTGCCCATCTGAGGCTGGAAGATAAGCCAAGAGCTTGTAAGCAGAGGTACCCTTGGGCTGGGCCTTACCAAACACAAGGAACGATAATCCCAGGTCTTAAATTCACCAGTGAAATGTCTTCAACCCCTCCAGGCAAGAAACACACCAAAGAGGACGGGCCAAGGAGTAAGCTGGAGTCAGGAGCACCTGGCACCCAGCACGTGGGAAAAGCAGCATGTATGCACACAAACAGATCCGTAGGGTTGCAGTCATAGTCAGAGCACAGTAAAGGACATTGTGAACACCCAGGGTAAGAGGCAGAAAGCTCTCAGAGGAAACGGGCATCTCTCGAGAGTGAGGTCAACAGAATGGCCTCAGAGTCTAGCCCGGCGCCCCTCCACATGCTTACTCTGGCCACTGTGTGTATTCTTTAGCTTGTTGTGACACCATCTGGTCGGCAGATTGTAAAATTGTACTGCGGGGTAGGTAGAGGTGAGCGAAACAGCTTTCTGCTCTCTTGGGCTACAAGCCACCTCACACAGGCAGCTGGGTGTGGTCTGCACAAACTGGTTCTTAGAGGCCAAGTCCTTTAACTCCTTTGTCTATTCACAGGAGGAAAAAGAAAGACTGCTTTCTCTGCTCTGCTCAGTAGCAGAAGGGTAAGGTCTGCCTTGGTGGCATCAAAGCTGCTGTTGCCCTCCAACTGTTGGTCAAAGGAGAGAGCACACAGGCAGGGTTTTTCCTGTTGGGCTCTGAAGTGTGTTACTGTTTCAGAATAGTCATTAGTTCTACCTCCTAGATGAGGCCCTGGTAACAGCTGGCTGGTATTCTCCAAGCCTACAACTTGTCAGAGTTGACAGTAATCGATGACTGGCTAGCCACTAACTAGGTGTTGAATCTCGAATGGCTCACAGGGAAAGAACCCTAAAGGTGACCCTGAAAAACTGAGCCTCCCAGTAGGAGTGCCTGAGAGTCTGACAAACCCTATGACATTCAGTGCCTGGCACTTCCCAGGCCTTATTTAAAGTGGGGCATCCCTACTGCATTTCATTTGTCTTCCTCTGATGCTAAGAGTGGAGCCTAGGGCCCTGTGCATGGAAGGAAGCACTTAACCACTGGACACCAGCCCCAGTCTGGGACATAACTTTTACATTTAACATGACTTGGCATGGCTAGGCAGTCTGTTCTTATGTTTTCTTAAAAATTGGACATGCCAATTTTTAAGCTGGGAGAACAAGTGAGAAACCACTAGCAACAATTGTGTTTAATTGTTGGCATGGATGCAAGGCTCATTTTTATAGTTTTGACCTTTTGAAACATATCACTTAATTAGTTACTCAAAATGTAAAACAGGGCCCGGTAGGCAAGACAGCTGAGCAGGTAAAGCCACACACCCCCAAGCCTGATGACCTGTGTTCAGTCACCAGAATCCACATGGTAGAAGGTCAGAGCTCCCACAGTTCGTCCTCTGGTCCCCACACACATACCATGGCATGAGCACGCACCACACACACACACACACACACACACACACACACACACACACGCAGAGAGAGAAAGAGAGAGATGCATGTTTGCAGACATTCGTAAACACATGCAAATAAAATCGGTATCTATTTTAAAAGGCCACAACTTTTAAAGGTGAAGCCCTGATGTACGATTGCTGGCTATGGAGTTGCTCCATGGGGGGCAGTCTAGCTGCTCAGGTCCTTCACCTCATGACCACAGCATCACTTCTGTGGCCCCTGTACTTAGACACTAGTGGTCTGTCCAACCTTTTGCTTTGTAGATAGGGAAAGGAAGGTCCAGGGAACCTGGATACCTCTCTTTCCATAGGACACGTCTCAAAATAAAGAAAGAAAAGAAAACAAGACAATCATCCTGAAAGATTTATTTTTAATTAAAAAATAAAAATTATCTTAATGTATCTGCATTTGCAGCTTCAGGGATGGCAACTTAATGAAGCAGGAAAACCAAGGCTCAGAAGTTCTTTTTGTCACCTGACCATCTTATAAATGTACAAAGGCACACATGTCTCCAAACAGACAAGCAGGACTCGGAGCTGTCCCTAGTAACTCGAAACTCCCTCCAACTCCCTTTTTGTCTGCCTTCAACAGTTTTCCCCACCCCACCCTCCAAAAAGAACCCCAAAACAGTCAATTCTCTTAAAACTACAGAAACAAGCGCTGAGTCAGCAAGGAGCCTGGGCAGGCTTCCCAAACATTCCCACCTGCCTTTCTCTGCTTTGCTGACTGTCTGGCTGCCCAGAGGGAAGCAGGCAGGGAGAAAAGCAGCCCTCCCTCCCTCCCTGCAGGCCAGCCCAGCTTGTCACACTGATAGTCTGCTTGCTGTACCTAACCCCACAGCCATCACCCCCGCCTGGGCAAGCAGCTCCAAGGCGCTATCTCCCTTACTCAAGGGTACCTGTGGCTAACATAGCCTTGCAAGAAGGGCAAGTCCCAATGCAAACAAGTCTTCATCAAATGCTCAAGATGAAAATGCCACTGGGAGAGGGAGACAGGTGGCGCTCCTCCACCCACTGACTAGGCCTTAGCAGTCTTTCTCTCCTGAGTCTCCTTGCCTTCTCTCTTCCCTTATTCCCAGTCTCCCCCTTCCCCCAAAGAACTTTAGTTTAGCTTAATGGTGGGGGTTCAGAAGAAGCTTCTGGCAACTCCTGGGGCTGGTGAGGTGGTTCTGCCACCTCCAGAGGGACATGGTGTGTTTTGGGATCCTGGGTATCACAGGGCTCCTCGTGTCCCTGCAAAGACTCCAGGTGCTCTTGACTCTGGGCCTGGCTGTTCATCTTCTCTTCAGCTTCAATCTCCTCTGATGTGGGAATAGAGTTCTTCTTAGGACGCCCCTTAGGTTTTGTGGGTGCTTCCTGTCCACCTTTAAGAACCTATGTGGGGAAAGGAGAGAGAGAAAGAGAGAGAGAGAGAGAGAGAGAGAGGGAGGGAGATTATTGAATCAAGAAATTGCTCCATCCTGGTCTGGTTCACCCTCACACAGCACTCTGCAGTTTCCCTCCCAGTAGCAAAGCCACATGTATTTTAAGGCCATCCCCTGTAGTCAGTCAGCTTCTGCCATGTTCAGTGGACTTTTAGTCAGCATTATATACTTTCATATTTAATACCCCGATCATAAACACAGAAAAAAGAGCCACCTGCCTCAGTAAGGGAAGAAATTAAACTTCAAATGCTAATGTGATAATTGTCAAACTGGCAGATTAAAAGGATCTGTACGAGCAAGAGGAAAAATACACTTGTGAAACTTGTGCCTGGATCACCTTTTCAAGACGATCTGACAATCTAGTTAAAACATGAACCCCTCTAAAAAAGAAATTCTTCAGGATAAATTCTCAACACCCACCCATGTCTACAAAAAGGTTGATGTGCAAAACATGGTCAGCCCAACATTGCTTATAACAGCAAACGTCAGAGTGGGTACCCTACAAGTCAGACAATTGCAGTAAATCCCAAAGAGTGACTCCTGATAACCAAAACAATTATTATAGAGGAGAGGGTTTACCTGGGAAAGATTATGAATATATTTTATATAAAAGCCAAGTCATCATACCACATACATAGTCCAACTTTGAGTCTAGAAAGCTATATGCTGCCTGTGGCAGGACCAAGATCATGGGTCATGCTTCATCTTTTATGTTATTTTCTAAATTTTCACCAAGGATCATTTATAAGAATTTCTGTTATCAGAAGAAAAGATGGTAAATAAATAAATAAACATTCTCCTGTCTTGCTGAAAGAGGGAGCTGGCCATCTTAGAAAGAGCTGTAACCACAAAGGCTAAATTCCAACTCTGGAACTTCCCAGCTTTGTCTTTGGGAAGCTCTTTAAGGAACCCACCAAGCCTCACTTTCCTATCTGTAAAACGGGGCTCAGAGCACCTTCTACCACAGGTGACTGGCAACAACTCATTGCATATGTGAGAAACCAGGATGGTTGCTGAATGACAGTTTTCTCCTGCACATCATTGGCTGGCATGTTCTGAAAGCCTGCCTGCCCTGCTCTCCACAAAAACACCACCTCGACATGTGTATATGCCAGCTCCCTGAATGCAGCAAGCATTTGACAACTATTATGGACGGAACCTTTAAACACTTCAGAAAGTTTAAGAAAGATTAAAAGCTCAGCAAAGTGACCCCAGAAGTTGGGAGGGGGAGGCAAGTGGATCAAGAGTCTAAGATCATTGTTGGTTGTATAACAAGTGCAAAGCCAGTTGAGTTACATAAGACCCTATCCACAAAAAAAAAAAAAAAAAAAAAAAAAAAAAAGGATTGAGGGGAATGGTGAGGTAGATATGATCAAAATATAATCTGTGTGTGCTTGTGTGTGTGTGTGTGTGTGTGTGTGTGTGTGTGTGTGATTCTCAAAGATAGATAGATAGATAAAACCAGGCAAAAAACCACACCCCAAATGGCCTTTGTTGGTATAAAAGATTTATATACTTATCCCATTTTGTGATTTACCCAAGAACCCCCATTAAACAGATAGAAATCATTCTTTAATTTTTTCATAGTTTGTTTAGGAAGGTAAGCTACAACCCATTCCTCCACTGTCTCCAACCCCTGTTTCTGTGTAGTTAATGTTCTGGGTAGCTGGTATGAAGACCTTTGGCAGAGCTTGAATCTAATAGAGAAGGGGTAGGGGATTTTTTTTTTTTTTTGCCACTTTCTATGATAATTAGATTTATATCTCTGGTGCATAATGCCTTAGATGAACAAACCTATCTTAAGGAAAGGTTTCTTTTCACTCACCACTGTAGTGGTTTTACTTCATGGTTGGCCCACTACTTAATGGACATGGGGTGAAGGCAGAATAGGAAGTAGCTGATTCCATGGGATCAGAAAACAAAGAGAAACAGGAGGAGCTGTGAGCCTAGTGTCCACTCCAGGACACTTCCAGATGGCCTAACTTCCTTCTGCTAGAAACCACACATCTTAAAGCCCCCATCACTCCTGTGCCCCCCCCCCTTAGCATTACAGGTTAGAGACGGAGCCTTTGGTGGTCAATCCAGATCCAAACTACAGAACATCTCCAATTTATCACACTGTCTTTTCCATTTGTACAGAAGCTCCTTAGAGCAAATCTTTCCTGATACTTCAACTGCTATGACCTTTCTATGTAGTCACTGGGTATTTATCGACCCTTTTTCTTTCTTCAAGGGCAGAAGAGGACCTTCTTGGACTGAACTTCAAGAAAGAGTACAGTCACTTACCAAACTTTAAATTCTTATTTAAACTGCTGTATTGCAATGATAGTTGCTCAAGTTGGCAATTATACTAAACACTGTTGAATTGAGCATGCATTCAAATTATATCTCAAAGCTGTTTAAATAAGAAACTTCTTTCGTTTTGTTTTGTTTTTCAAAACAGGTGTCTCTGTGTATCTTTGGAGCCTGTCCTGGAAACTCGCTCTGTACACCAGGCTAGCCTCGAACTCAGAGATTCACCTGCCTCTGCTTCTGTCTCCCAAATGCTGGGATTAAAGGCATGCACCACCACCTCGGGATCCCAATAGAAACCTTATACCCAATATCACCAAATCCCCATTGCCCCCAACCTCTTTGTCCTGCACCTCAACAATCAGTAGTCTTCCCTTTGTCCTTACAGATGAATCCATTCTGGACAGTTCATACAAACAGAGCCATAATATGTGGACTTTGCTTACTTCATTTGGCAGTGTTTTTAAGGTCCACCTATGTTGTAGCATGTATCAGGAAATAACATTCACTTTACATCTGTAGCAAAGTTTGATGGCTCACTCATCAGCTGTTGGACACTTGGATTACTTCCACCTTTGGGCTCTGCGAATAATGAATGCTCTTAGGAACATGGGTGAACAAATACCTCTGTAAGTTACTACTCTGACCTCTTTCTGGTCTATACCCAGAAATGCAATTGCTGCATCGTATGGCAACCCTATGATTAACATTCTGAGGGCTTTTTCTAAAGTAGCAGCACCACTGTGCCTTCTGCCAACAATGTGTGTGGATTTCAATTCTCCACATCCTCATCAACGCTTGTCATTACACCTTCCTGATTATAGCCATCCTCAATAGTTAGAAGTGGGATCTCATTGTGGTTTTGATTTCCATTTCCCTGGTGATTAACAAGGTTGAGCAGCATTTCCTGTGCTTATTGGCTATTGTACATCTTTTAAAAAGAAATTTTAAAAGATAATTATATTATTCTCTATTCCTTCCTTCCAACCCTTCTCATGTATCCTCTTTCAAATTCATGGCCTTCTTTTTTAATTGTTGATATTGAGATAGATAGATGGATATAGATATAGGTATAGATATGGATAGAGATACAGAGATATAGAGATAGATAGATATAGATATAGAATTTCTCTGAGTATACAAGTACAGTTTGCTCAGTCTGTATACTGCTTCCTGTGTATTTACAATCTCAGGACTGACCATGTAGTGTGGGAGAATCATTTATACATCTGTTTTGGAGGGATGTAAAAATTGTCTCCTTAGGACTTTGCAATCATATCCCCCATGGAGGGATAACTGCCTTATTCTAGAGATAGGAGAGAAGCCCTAGTCCCTACTTCACAGGACCTGTCAGATCTACATGACCCCAACTGGATGGCATTCCCCTACATATGGTATTGTGGTGGGGGGTTGGGAGGGGAGGGTGTTTAGAGTGCATGGGAGAGGGTAGAGAGGGCAAAAGGGAGGGAGGGAGGGAAGGAGGGAGGGAGAGGGAACTGGGATCGACATGTAAAATAATAAATTTAAAAAAAAAAAAAAACGCTTTGACTCCAAAATTTAAGTTGAAGAACAAGTTACTGGGGAAAAGTATTTCTATTTTTGTTTCCACAAAAAATGAAAAGATGTGGATTCCTTCCAGACTAATGTGGTTTGATCACACCAGACCGCCTGAAACAGAGTACAAGCTGATCCTACATTCCAAACAGCTGGACAAAACAGCCCTACAGACTACAGCTAGGATATCTGAATCTTCTTCGAATCCCCCAAGACAGCGCCCCTTACCAGCAGGAAGTAGTTTGGAAAGAACGACGCCCAAATTCCCAAATATTGTGTATAAATGTTTGTTTTCATTTAATTGGACTTTGTTATATAAAATTAAATAAAAAAATAAAAAATATTATTTTAAAAAAATTGTCTCCTTAGAATACATCATAAGAGATATAAATAAAAAAACAATCTAGATATATATTCCTTATCAGATAAAACATTTGAAAATATTTGTTCCCGTTCTAAGGGCTCTCTCTTTTCACTTTTTTCTCTCTTTTTACTGTTTTTACTTTGAGAGCATAGGTCTCATTTAATCCCACTTATGTTTTCTTCTAAGGCTTTTATGGTTTTAGCTCTTTTTTTTTTTTTTTATCCATTTTGAGTTAATTTTTTTACATGAGGGCCAGGAAAACGATGTGTTCTCAACAAACACTGCTTTCCAGCTGCAATTCTTCTTGACTTACTTGAACCCGACTAGATAGCTCACACACGGAGATATGAAGTAATCTTCAACAAGGTATAGATGTTAACAGAAATCGCCTCTCGAGAGATGACATCCCTGAATTCTTTTTTGGATAAGCCAATATCTGATTTTTATGTCAGTGCTTTTGAAAGTGCCTGGCTGGGCCAGGTCAGAATCTACATGTTGAAAGCAGCTCCACCGGGTATGAAAGAAGTTATACAGAAAGCAGTTGCCCCATGCAGTAACCAAGTTAGAAAAGGGCAGGTCTAAGGAAGCCACCTAATTGGCAAAGGAAAGCCCAGCAATTAGAGAACACCACCCACATGGCTTGGATTTACCCCACCTGGCTGTTTTCCTACAGCATGAAAAAAAAAGAAAAAGTCAAAACAATCAAACCATTTTCTAAATGGAATAAAACATTCCAGTGCAAGCAATAATTAGAAGACAACTACCCTCCTGGCTGCTTTCCGAATCGACCTCTGGCCCCTGCCTCTCAGCACCTGAGATGTGCAATTATCCCAGCACCCTTCCTGCACCAGGACTACACTCTCACGTGCACGCTGAGGCCCTCTCAGGGGACTTGCTTCCTCACTAATTCCCAGAGAGGAATTAGTGTTTAGAGGCCAGGCAACCCACTGGACACGAGGTTACAAGCTTCTTGTCTCTCACAAAAGCACTTGGCTTCCCTCCTCTGAACTCTAAATTGAGGCATGTGACTGTCCTGTATCTGAGGATGTCCAGATGGGTCCTTTTGCTTTCTTTGTGAGGTACTTAAGTGAGGTTCAGGCAGTCACCTCAGAGAGAACAGAATGGCAGCATAGAAGGGTGAATCTGCCTTCCTTCACCTTCCAGACAAGAAACAGTTCCAGAAAGGGCCTTCAGTGTCAAAGTAAGCCAACAACAGAGCTGGGCTTGAACCTAAAACCCCTAACCACTTGAATCTAACATTCTTAGCAGCAATTTATTCTGTTTACTGTGCAATGAACTCAGAACATACTGCTGTGTTTTCTGTTTCGCATTCAACTGCACTTACCCAACAGATGCTTATGAACTTAGAGTTTTGTTTCTCTCTCCCCTCCTCCCTCCAGCACTGTGAGGACCACAAAATTGATGATAACTTCAGTGATGCAAGGGGGAAAACGTCTGGTCTGGGTTCTCCTGCCTGAATCTTTCCCATACCATTACTGCTTTCATTAGTTATTTGTCCCAGCCTGACAACCTAGTGTCACACAAGGCCTCAAAGTGTGTCCAGTGCCAAAACTCTGAACAGGGGCCAACAACCCAGGACTCCTCTCAACCAAAAAAGCCACTGGAGGGGTCCTCAAAACCTGTAGAATTCACTTTGACTTTACCTATTGTGGCCTCCAAAGGTTTAAATTATCTAGAAACATGGATTTTGTAGATAACAAACAGTAATAATAATGGCAGCTAATATCCCTTGTCTGTATCCTTTGTGGCAAGAGCTGTCCTAAGTATTTTATAGATGTTACCTCAGTTAATAGCACAACTGTGTGAAGTGGATATGAGGTTTTACCAAGGAGACAAAGTTACCTATATAGGGTCATATAGGTAACAAAGGTTAAAAATTCCACTGAACTGTTGACTCTCTAGAGACAATGCAAAAGCTAGGCAAAATAAACAAATAAAAACATAAAAAATTAAAAAAAGAGAAAGAAGTAGAATAACAGTATTTAGTCCACCCACATTCTGGTGTGGGATCAGATCCTCTTTCAGAGGAAAACTGTGTTTTAAAACTGCAGACCACTGAATAAAGAGACATTTTCACCCTGATACAAATTGCTGCAGATACAAAAAAAAAAAAAAAATGAATTTAGGATAAGCACCCTGTCTAATGTGCAAGATTACATTTATTCAACCCGCTATAGGTTACAGATGCTGACCAGTCAAAACTCGTCAGAGATCCTATCTCGCTCTTGGCAGCTTTGTCCTTGGCAGCCTCGGGAGTGAGTCTGAGAATCAAATACTAATCTTTTTCCAGTTCCAATTAGGTTACTAGCCTTGAGACATCTTTATTACCCAATTACCTTTTTCTTTCCTTCTCAGTACCTGAAGAGATAGCCTTGAAAGAGTTTTTAGCAGGAAAATATGTGAGGCAATCTGGAGCTCAACAATGCCTTGCTGTTCTGAAGGAGTCAGAACTCAACCCTCACAACTGAATGCCAAGCCTTTGTTGCTCCCGCCATTTTGAAGTTCCTCAGCACCCCCAAGCTTTCTGCCCAAAGTCCATTCCCCACCATCACGGGACCCGTTTCCATTTATTCACTGCAAACAGCCTAATGGTGCCTCTTCCATAAGGCCTTGCCTTCTCTTCTGAATCCTGTCAATCCCTACTCTACTGCTCTGGTTACTTTGTGTAACTTAGTTTTCAGGTCTGTGACCCTGACTTGACAGAAAATATTTTTATATTTTTGTATGCTTTGATTAATGTTTTAATTAGCATGCAAAGCATTAGATTTCATGAAGTATTTTGAAACATCATTTGTTTGTAATGACCTTCCCCCACCTTCTTCCCATCCTCTACCTCCTCACCTCATCTTTCCTGTCCCTTCAACAACTTTTTCTCCTGTCCTTTTGTGTTTCATGACTTACACCCACACTCACAGCCACCATATGGAAACACAAAGGGTCATAAAACGTTCTTAAGGTTTTAAGAGACAGATTCAGCTCATCAATTCAGCTCTATTACCTGTTATGAATTAATGGGTCCATATGCTATTGCTAACAAGAACTAAAAGCTTTGTTCTCTTCTCTCCTGAAGGGTCCTGAGCTTGATGTGCCTAGAATGCTCTCTCAGGTTAAATCTGCAGAGTTACTTCCATTTTGATGTGTAGGGTTGATAATCACCATCAAACTACTCCACACCTGTGCCAGCAGTAGGGTGGCTGATAAAAGACAAGTGATGTCAGAGCCCAAGGTGCACTCATTGTCCCACGGGGACTGGGCGGTTCTGGCCCAGAGGACCGGCTGTCAGTTCGTTATTCAAATGACTCATGAGAAGAGCTGATAACCAATTTGAACAATACTCTGCTACTCGGGAGACACTGATTTCCATGATGATGACTGATGAGGAAAGAGGTAGGTGGTGGAACTTAAAAAGGAAAAGAACCAAAGGGACGTGCCCCAAACAGGCAGGGAGGGGCATGCATGGGAATAGAGCCCAGCACCTCTCACTCCCAAACTTGGTTCCTTCACAGAACTACAACGCTCCCTCCGGTTTCTACCGTAGTTCCATGTATGTAGTAAAGCCTTACAGAGTTTTTAGAATGACTCTATTGATCTGAATTTCTTTGTCTCCACTACCTCATCTGAACCGTTCGGGGGTCTTATCAACTCAAAGGAAATAACCGAAATAACCAGCACTGAATCATTCTGCACTCCCTTGTTGCTTCCTGGGCCTTCATTCTCCAGCTACATAACAAATTCTGCTGGAAGCAGAAGTTATATTTCATTGTCTTTTCTATGGTTCCCAGGACAAGGATGGCTCGCAGAGGAACAGCAATGTTTGAATGTGAAGTGTGTTCACAGCAGGATCCCTATGGCAAATGTTCAGAGGTGGAACTTCAAGACCACATCACAAGAGCACTGACCTCACAACTGGTTTGAAGTGAGATATTTACTTTGTCCTCACCTGTGACACAGACCACACCCATTGGGGTGGAGACAGGGGCTGATGTTACCTGGGGGAACTAAGTCTGAGGAGGAGGCTCTGAGAACTCTCTTGCTTGCAGCACGGGGACAGGAGTGCATTCAGGGGCATCCTTGGGACCAGGAACCTGCTGGTGTTCATCTGTATATGTTGTAAGTTATTTCTCCCTGAATAAACATCTTTTTGGCCTATTTGTTTCTCCTGATCCTTATTAAACATCAATACGGGTTCATAAACTGGAAGGTGGGAACTGGCTGAAGGAAGCATGCTTTAAAATAACCTGGCCTGTCTCCAGCCCTGACATAGGGCTCTGAAGTCAGAATCCCCGGGAGAAGAGCTTATCCTGCTTCCTAGGTGATTACGACAGCCACCAATTTTAAAGATCCCTGCATTCATGGACAAAGGCACAGAAACATGTGTCTTTTTTATGACTATCACTACTGCTGGGAGGGAAACAGAGTTTTTTGGAAGCTCCAGCAGGTGGGATTCAGAATAGCAGCTGAGACACATGCAGACTTTCTTTGATTTCTAAGGAAACTGAAAAAAAAAAAAAAAAAAAAAAAAAAAAAAGAATATTCTCTGGTTAAGAGATGAGGTCAAGTTCAAGCATCCTCCCTCCCAGCAAGTACAAAGGAAGACCTTCGAAGCTCAAACTACCCACGGTCCTTCCTACCTCCCCACTGTCCCATGGTAGGAATTCTCCCTGTAAGGATAGGCTCAGGGTTACACTCCTTGTCCTTTCTTACCATCTTCTTCCATTTCATCCTGCGGTTCTGATACCAAGTCTTCACTTGCAGCTGAGTAAGTCCCAGAGACTGGGCCAAGTCCAATCTAGAAGGCATGAGACACAAAGGAAGGGTGAGGAACAGAGGTAAGAACAAGAGACCTGAGGTCATGCTGGCTAGCATCAGGCACTTGCTCCTAATTCTCAGACTATCATAATTAAACCAGTCCATCCCCAAGAGGAAGGATGCCTCCCCTCTAAGAACCTGGAAGCTTAGAAATAGTGGCCATGTTCAAGAACACAGGTGAGAGCCCTCTCTGAAATAAACCTGGACATCTCAGCCTTCAGTTGTCACCCTGATCCCCTGTAGAATGCATATTCCAGTCCCTAAATACTGGAAATAAAAAGTGCAGCTACACTTCTATGGGAATTCCAGCCATAGGCTCCAATCCACCTCCAGAAGTTCCCATGACCCCTCTTACTCGGCAGTTGCCCAATGGACCATGTTGTCAGCTATCTTCAGAGCACATGTTACTTCAGCCTTCCCAGCTCAAGAGCAAGTTTTTTCACTTAATTTATGTCCACAAAAATACCTACTACTATATTGCTAAATCCAGAAGCAGGGTTCAGAAATAGTTTTGCCACTGTGTATGTTTAGGAGCATGCATGTTTCTATGTGATGGGTGGACACCCAATGTTGATGTCAGGAATTGTCTCCCATCTCACTCCACTTTATATTTTGAGACAGGGTACCTTGCTGAAGCCAGAGTTCTCCCATTGCCCTGGACATCCTCTGTCTGTGCAAACTAAGTGCTGTCATTACAGGGAGCAGACACACCTGTCAGACTTTCATGTGGGTTCTGGGGATCTGAACTTCAGTCCTCACAATTGTGAAGCAAGTGACTCATCCGCTAAGCCATCTCTTCAGCCCCAGGAATTTACTGTAGCTGCCCTAAATTATTATAATGATTGGAATGCAAACCCATAAAGAGTCCAATGAAGCATTAAATCCATAGTCCCTCCTGCTTTCTATGCTCCTCGAGTTTCTACTTTTCTCTATGGCCTTCTGAAAGGCCCTAACGTCAAAACCATTATCATAGAGGATACAGTGGGAGGTAATTCCAACAACACAGCAACCATTTTCAGAGCGTGACAGCATCCCAGAGAGATCAGGATTTCTCAACCATATAGCCAAACCCTTCCTAACACCTGATTTTCTTTTAAATAAAGTTTATTGGAATACAGACAGGTTTGTTTGCTTTCATATTGCTCATGGCTACCTCTGTGCTACTTCAGCAGATTCAATCGAGTAGCTGTGACAGGCCATGTGTCCCAAAAGCCTGAAATAAACAGTCTTCTGGCTCTATTTTTGCTGACTCCTGGATCCTGGAGTGAGAGTGATATCCACCATGGCTGACTCGTATGCCACCTTCTGTGTGAGGGCTCACCTCATAGCACTTCTGTACAAAGCAGAACTGTCAAAGGGACACAGAGATGCCACAGCCTGAGGTCATAGCCAACCCTCCAAATGGAGCACATGGGGAAAGGGGCAATTAGTCAGGTTTCTACCCTTGGTTCTCGAGGCTGCATCCAGGGACCTGTGTGCCTGCCTGCGAACCATGTGGAGGGACATGAGATCTGAGAGAACATGAGCTGCCTGCCTACAACCTCTCTGGAGCACCCACCCTGCTCAGTGCAGCAGTTCAGATTTGTATATCAGCTTGAGCAGTGGCCACTGCTGCTTGAAGGTTCCCAGGTTTCTGAGAATTGCCACTTGCAGATCTAGGGCCCGCTATGTCTTCTTGCAAGTCTGCACACGCTTGAACCTAAGCCACAGGCAGTCCAGGTGTGAGGCCTCCGCTGCAGCTTTCTCTACCTGAGGAGATGGAGCATTGGCAGGAACACTGAGCTCTGACCCTGGTATCAGCCAATTCTTAGTGCTCACAGGCACAGCTGCCCAGGACTCCTGATCAGGGTATATTAGAGGCCTCTAATAATAATTTTAAAAATAGAATCTGCCTTTAAAGGAATGTTGAGCTTGTCTTAAAGCTACTTCCACACATACCTGATCAATCATCCCTGTAGAGGGGCTACTGGCAGCTGAGCATTTGATAACCAACCAAAGCAATAAACTCCCAGTGCTAATAGCACTTTCCATTAATGCCCAAAGCAGTCATTCATATGAGTCAGGAACCCAGAGGGATCCCACAGTTCTGGTCCCAGGGCCATTCTGGGCTCTGGTAGTCCTAAGGGTCCTCTCAGGCTCCTGCAGGGTTTTCCTGAGCCTGGTTCACCTGAGGCCATCAGGTGCATTAGTCAGTGGAAGGTTCATAGTTCTGCCATGGCATTAGCAAATGCTGTTAGCTCACTTGGGAAAAATGCATCCCTGACTCACACTGGCTGCAGAAACATCTCACTGTCATCAGCTTTCTCTCATTACCTGCCACCGTTACAAATTCTCACTTCCCTGCATATTCACTCAAACAGAGTCACCTAGGAAACTGGGGAAACAAACACGGAGGAGGAGGGCAGGAGCTGTGGGAGGAGGGAGTGCTCATGGCTCTGGTCACGTAGGGAGTTAGGGAACATCAGAAAGGGCGGGGTCAGCTTCAATGCCAGCCAGATGGTGTCCTCCCTAGGCAAGTGAATCAGTTCTGTGTGGGTCACCTGAGAGATGCCTGGGCAAGTATCAGGAAGCCCCAACAGATTTATTAAAAACTAGCATTTCTAAGTTTTTAAAAAGTTCTCTAGCTTCTGAGAAATAAACCCAACTTTTACCCATCCTTTCTGAAGCCTCTTAGATACACAACTGGACAGCTAACAATGATGGCTGCCCCACCTGGTTACACAAGTCCACAAAGCTTACTTACCTGCTATCTGAGGATCAAATGTATTAATTCCCAATTCATAGGCCCAAATGTCACCCCACCCCACCCCCATGTGAATGTTCAAAGCAATGCTCACTTTTCCCCCATCAATCCCAGCCTGCCCTGGTCTTATGGTTTCTGTGAATAGCATCCTTGTTCCTGGTGGCCTCATGCAGCAACCACAGGACACTCAACTCTCACCCCTCTCCCTCATCCAGTGTCAATGCTGCCAATTCCACTTCTAAGCATCCTCTTCTCCTCTCTATTCTCTGTGTAACATCCTACAAGCTATCTCTAGATTCTTTCATAACTGCTTCTCCCCTCCATCACTTGCCAGTCGTGGTGCTACCAAAGTTATGATCCAAACATGTAAATCTGGCTCTTATGGTCAGTCACTGCCTCAACAGCAAGACCCTGTTCTTCAGCCAGGCACCTGAGGTCTTTCTTAACCTATTCACATCCTGAGTGGAAACACCGTGCTTGTAGTTCCTACAGTGTGCCCAGTGAGACAAGTCTATGTCTTTTGGGGTATCTCCTCTATGTAGGATACTCTATCTCTTCTGGAACCAAAGCTCTTCTTAAACCAAGGCTCTTCCCTGCCACGCTTAGCAGTATCTGTGGGTTTCTGCCACAACAAAAGGCACTGGCACTGGCTCACTATGCTATAGCAGTTGTAGTCATTCTTACCCTATCCTTCAAAGCAGGGCTTTGTTTACTGAGCAGCTAGCTTATCGGACCAGTAGACAAATTCTCCCTGAAGTGGTGATTTGCAGATTTCTCTTTAACTTTCATCTTGTTTTCTAGACAGCTACTAAACAGCTCAGGCATTCATCTGCATTTACTTCATGTTCTCTTTCATAGGACTGGGGTCAACCAAATATAGACAAAGCAGTTTTAGCAAAAGAAAACAAACAAACAATGATCTTAGGAAAGACCTGGAAAAGTCCCCCAATAAAGAGTCTCATCCCTGAGCTTAGCCATCTCGGGGTGAGATAAGGCAACAAGACAAAACACTCAGTGTATTTTGTAGTTAAGATATTAAAGACAGGGGGGAGGTATTAGGCCCATACATAAAGCAAGGGTTACAATCACTCTGTCTGCTTCATGAACTGCAAAGGAGTCTACAGAGGAAATTTCCTCTCAATTTGCAGGAGTCTCTGCCAGGTGGCTCTGCTTCAATCCTGATCAGACTGTACTCACTACTTCAGAATCAGAAACCTCCTCCCCTGGATAAATCCAGGCCTTTCTCAGCCAAAACCAGCAAACTGAGTCCACTGAATGTTCAAGGTGGGATGGGAGGGCTGAAATCATAGCTCAGGTGTTGAGGTTTAGACCCATTGTACACAATGCTAAATATTGGGGGCTTTAAAAGCCCAGCTACAAGCTGGGCAGTGGTAGCAAACACCTTTAATACCAGCCAGAGGCAGGCAGATCTCTGTGAGTTTGAGGCCAGCCTGGTCCATAGAGTAAGTGACAGGATAGATCCCAAAGCTACAAAGAGAAACCCTGTCTCAAAACAAAAACAAAAGCAAAAACTCAGCTAGACTTGCTGGACTTTCCCTTGCTTGTCTGAAGAGATTTATCTAATACATAGAAGAGACAGAGGAGGGCATACATTCAGGCTCTGGGCTGATGTACTAGATTCAAGTGGGCTCCCTTTTCTAACCCAATTTTGACAGGAATTGAGCAAAGGAATAAAAATCTGGACCAAGAGTCTAAGCCAGCACTGAGAGTGTCCTCCATAAATTCACACCCCACAGAGAGCAAAACACTTCTCCAGGGTGGTACCTACAGAGAGTGCCTTCCTTATGCCCTCACCTGTCTGGGGTAGACAGGTACTTCTGTTTTTGAAATTTCTTCTCCAGGCCCATGAGCTGTAGCTCAGTGAAGATGGTGCGACTCCTACGTGGTTTCTTCTGCCGCTGTGTGGGTTGCTCTGTCTCAGATTCGCTGCTGGCTAAAGCCTCGCCTCCAGGGGTCTCGGCTGCAGCAGCCTCAGTGACTGGATGTCGGGATAACACTGGGGTGATTCCTGGGCCGGTGGGAACCAGGTGGGAGATGACTGTGGGCTGCCGGGTGATCACAGAGAGGAGAGGATATGCCCTTAAGGAAGCAGAGCCTGGAAAACAAAGAGTCAAGTCACCACAATGCACAGGACAGACCAGGGACCAGGAGTCCGAAGAGAACCCCTTGCAAAGACCTGCATGAATGCTGGGCCTCTTGCTCATCAGAAGGTTCAAGTGGAGCCAGCAAAATAAAAACAACTTGAGAACCTGAACTACAAGGTGGGCCAAGTATATGGATCCTTGAACCGGCTTGGTGAGTGAGGCCATTTGTGCTCCCACTTAGCCAAGAAAGCCAAGCCAAAATGTAAGTCCTCTTATTTTAATTCCTTTTCCTCCTGTGAACACCTCATTTCTGGCTTCAGTGATATAGGTCACTGGAACCTTGCAAATAAAAAGCAGTAGCCAAGAGGCTAGAAACATGTACTTCTGCATTCCAATAACAAATCTGTAATATACAAATTTCCTAAACAAACAAGAAACTTCTATGGTCTTCATCAAAGACCTGCTTATAGAATCATAGACTCCAAACCGCTGTACCTTGACTCATAGTTATGTTCAGAGCAGCAGGATGCTTAATGATTATTGCACTCAATGCCCTCATGTCAAAGCAAAGTAGTCTAGAAGAGTCAAATGACTAGCCTAAGACAATATAACCAGGAAATGCAGGTCAAGGGGTCAAACCACAACCTCCTGGCTTGAGGTCCAGGGTTCTTAGCATCAGTTTGAAGCACACATTTACTGGGGGGGAGGTGAGGGCATGGACAGGACAGGACCAACAGATATTTAATTCACATAAAAATGGCTCAATTATGACTAGTTACCAGCAGCACTGTTTAAGGAGGGTTCTCAGGCTGGGTTGGAACGTTCTAGGATCGATTAACAGTGTCTGCCACGGGCAGGTGGTAGGTACAAAGGTTCAGGGATATATGTACTAGTTTAACACTACTTCTTATGAATTCAAAGCAAAGTGCACATAAAAGTGTCTGCTTTTCTTTCACTGTTTAATTGTATCAGGTTTAAAGTGTCTGGACTATGGCCTATGAATCTCACTCTGTCTCTTTAGTCTGTTTTGTCATCCAGATAATAAGAGTAGCTAACTTAAGAGAATGCTTCAAATTCTGACATACTGATGCCACCAACGTATCTCTCACCTCACATTCAACAGCTGATAGAAACTGGGGGACTGCCCTTTGAAGCTCGGTGCACCCCTGCCAGCAGCCACAGAGGCAGAACAAGACAAAGTCAATCAACATTCACACTAGTCCTGGGCTGAAACCAGCTACACCGCAGAAGCCCCCAGGTGCTGCTGTGAACCTGCTGTTCTCTAGCTTGGCATTGCTCTTTTTATTCATTCCTGTGCCTGTGTTCTGGAGGCCAGGCCTAGTCATTAAAACAGATAGCTGCTCTTGTTCTTTGAGTATGGTCTAGTGAGGCCTGGCAGAAACCGCAGAGTTGTTAAGTAACAATAAATCAGCAAGTACAACAACTTCCACCAACCCTAAAGCCAGCTCTAACGCTTGAGGTTTTGTGCTGTTGATTCATTGTAAGAAAAAATAAAAATGAGGGCTGGAGCGATGGATGGCTCAGTGGTTAAGAGCACCTCTGTTCTTCCTGAGGGCCTGAATTTGGTTCCCTGCACCTGTGATAGACAGAACACATCTGTCTGTAGCAGGGGATCCCAGGCCTCTGAACTCCAAGGATATGGCACTCACTTGCACACATCCATACACTGGCACATAAAAATAATAGAAGTTAATTTAAGAAAAAAATTCATCTAGAAATAGTACTTTATAGAAAGAAAACCAAGGTCTTAGGTATGGACTTTCAATCTCTTGGCACACATCAGAAATGACTCTACATAACAAAGTCTCTAGAAGCTTCTACAAAGACAAAGTTTCTCATCTCAAATCACTTTCCTTCACAATGTATTCTGTCTTTGTGAAACAAATCTCTGATCTAGGAATTCATGAGTTTACCAGCTAGGAAATGGAAAATATCTACTTGTCTAGGTTTTTGTTACTGTTCCCATTTGTAAAGGAGCTGAACTTTTTTTTTTTTTTTTTTTGCTAAAAGTGGTATAATATATTGCGTTGACAGAGATGTGGAGTAATAGGCACTCATATACTGTTGATGGGAATATAAAAGACGGAAAAAAAAAACATTTTTATCTGTCCACCATCAACATCTACCAAGTCACTAACATAAAACCTAGTATGAGTTCTGCTGTCTGTGTATACAGGGTTGTGTGTGCCAGCATATCCACTACAAACCTGTTGACATTAGTGAAAGGGAACACAATCCACAGACCAATTAACAGGACAGTGAATTGAGGTCTACTTGTAGTGTTAACTATCTGTATAATCTGATAAATACATAGATGAATGGATAAACTAACTATTCAAATATATATTAAGTGAGAGAATACAGCATAAGATTGTGTCCTCAGAAAAGCTATGTGACCACTGTTACAAATGCATTTTTTTGTTTTCTTTTTTCTTTTTTTAAACCAAAAGGCTATTCCCTCATGAATAACAACCTCCAGGGGAACCGTGGATGTAAAATAGAATAGAAAGGAATCACTGGTGTTGATCTCATCCAGTATGTAACCCTCCCAGAATACTCTGAGCATGGACAGTGGACTACACCTGCTCTGGAAGTTGAGGTTACAGCTATGAATCAAGAAAAGTTCCATCTTTGGGGATTTACATTTCGGTAGAGCAGGCAAGCAGAAAGCAAGTAATAGAACCATAGGTAGTGGTGAATTCTACAAAGAAAGGTACGGCAAAATGAGAAGACAAACAGAGAAGGTGGGAGGAGGTACCTGGGAAAGGAGTGGGAGAAGGCCTTTGAGGAAAGGTGGCCTGTCAGAGAATGAGTGTGTCTTGGTGTGCTAGAGTCTGGAGAAGACACAGGGTTGAGCTCCAAGGCACAGAACCAGTGTGTGCAAACTCATTCATGGGAACAAGCTTTGACTCAATATTACTAAATGGTCAGAAGTGAGAAGAGCAAAAAAGTTCAGAGAGACCTGCTGGTGTCAGATCACAAGGAGACGCAATTCAGAATGATGAAAAGCCATCCATAGAGATTCCAGCTGGGCCAGGACATGATCTGGCCTAGTCATTAATGAGCTGTATAGCTACTGTGGAGAGCAGGCTTTAGGAGCAGGTAGGGAAGCTACAAAACCAGCTAGAAGTAGAGGCTAAATCCCAGGTCCCTGAGCATTGATTATCAACCTGTGGGCCATGACCTTTTTGGGACCAACCCTTTCACAGAGGTCAAATATCAGATATCCTGCATATCATACATTTATATTACGATTCATAACAGTAGCAAATTTATGCTTATGAAGCAGCAATGAAAATAATTTTATGGTGGGAAGTCACCACAGGGGATGGAGGGGATCACTCCTGGATGAGGGTCTGTATTAAAGGGTCATAGCATTAGGAGGGTTGAGAACCACCACCATAGAGGCAACATTTGTGGCTATAGTACTGCCCAATTCTGGGTGTATTTCACCAATGGTGTAAAAGGGTCTGGTGGACAGTTTCTGGTAACAGCCAGGTGTTTTGTCTTAGCAATGGAGGAATGTCACCACAATGGAAAGCCTGGACAAAGAGCAAGGGTGGGTGGGGAAGCAGACTGCTATGGTAGATGAGCAGCTGTTAGACATCTCTTAAGTATTGAGGAGGTGGCTGGGTGAACCAGTCTGGAGTTCCAGGAAGCACAAGGCTGGAGCTTTGACTTGTGAAGGGTATATGGCATTTTGAGCCATGAACAGAATGAGATCACCCAGGGAGTGAGTAGAAGAAATAAGAGCTCAAAGGACAGAGCCTGGGGCATACCAACATCTGAGGTCATGAGGAGGGAGAGATGCCAGCCCCGGACAGCAAGGAAAGGACAAAGAGATAGAAAGCCAGCATCCCCTGGTGTTCTAACACCCAAATAATACTTCTGCTGTGTGTGTACACTCTGTCACATGCTTGAATTGTTTTTGTAACTTTTTAAAAGGCAGAATTCAGTTAAATGAGTCTTAAGTTCCATTCCCATTCTAAAGTTTTGGTATGTTTCCAGTCTTTCATGAGCTCCTAAGAAGCTGGGCAAAGAGAACTGATGCGTAAAGTATGTTTGGTTCTGTGACACTATTGGAAAGCAAACTAGGTGTCCTCTTAGACTAAAGGGACTCTCTTCATCACGTGAGGGGTCAACAGAATGTTTTTTTTATGCTGGAAGATGTTTAGCGTTCATAATTCATATTCTAGGTTGAACCATGTTCTTTCCTTTAGGATAAATTCCATTAAATGTGGAAAAATAAAAGATTTTTCTACAAGTGAAAAATAAAACAGCATTGGGGGGGGACTATGCTTCCTAAATTATTTAAATGTTTACTCAAAATAGATCATAGATTCTAAACACACAGAGAAAAATCTCACAGCTTTGGAGTATGGTGAGAATTCTTAGTAGTGTCACCAAAAATACAATGCATTTTTAAAATGGGAAAAGAAAAGATGATCCTTGTCAAAATTAAATCTTTCATATACAGCACGTTTTCTCATATGTGGAATCCAGATTGTGTGTGTGTGTGTGTTTAAAAAAATAGAAAGAGGGAAAAAAACCTTAAGGGATTTTAAGATGGGTGGTGGAACATATTGACACAGAAGTGGGAACTACGTGGGGGCAGGAAGAGGGGAGAAGGATGGAGAGTGCAATGGAGGAGTGGGACGACAAAGAACAAAGCATAGTGACATATATACGTGAATATTTCACAGTGACATGCCTTATTTTGGGCTCTAACTTTTGCCATGCAAAATATAATGTTGAGGAAAGGAAAAAGCATGCCACAGGTTAGTAGTAGTGGGGGGGTATGTATCTAAATTGATAAATAATTTGCATAGAGAGTATATTAAATATTTCAATTTAAAAAATGAGCAAAAGTAGGCAAGGTGTGGTGATACATATCTAATCCCAACACTAGGGATGCTGAGGTAAGAGAGATGCAAATTAGAGACAGCTGGGCTAGATAGTGACAACTAGTCATACATATTTTAAATTTATT